CGCTCCAGAAAAGAGCGCGCGGCTACTGAGAAGAAAGAGGGGGACATATATATATATATAGATATCACTGAATGAACTCCAACCCCGGTACTGGGAAGAATACTCAGGAGTTTGGTCTATCATTCACTCGTTAGACTTGTGCTCAGCAGCCAACGATCCCAACACTTTTAGTTTTGGTTGATGTGTTCCTTCAATATCCTTCAACACTTTTCCCACACTTGAGAAACAGAGGTTCAATGCGTAAGAACACGCTTGGGGCAAAAGTGAGTTTCTCAGTCTTCGATTGACCTTGTGGACCATTAGATTGCATGTGACATGCTTGGACTAGTGACTTTTGTGCAGCTGGGAGGCCAAGCTAGACAGCAGATGATGCTACCACTGATGGAAGTAGTTTCAGCATTCAGCTAGACATGTGCTCTATATTCCACATGCACGCATTTCACTGCATTGTATCTTTGTATTATTTGTAAAGCCGTGCAAACAGCACACACATATATATATATATTTATGTATGAGCACAGGTTTCATAGTTTGCCCAGTCAAGTTGAGGTCTTCAGAAATCCCAGGCGCAGTTGATTCATTGCACAGGTGCCAGTTCCCTTTATGTGACCTTTGCATTCTAAACAGGACAATTGTACAGGCCTAGCGATCGAAAGTAATAAGGCCTGAGTCGGAACAGAGTTTTCTTTTTCTTTTGGAAGATGGTCTTGTGTTCAATGCGTGTTAGAGTTCCTGTTTCAACGTGGCACTTCAAGTCCTTACAGACAAAGCATAATTTGCCCAAGTTGTATAGTTGTATCGGTTACCCTGATTATGTGAGGTCGCAAGACTGGTAATTCTCTCAGATATTCAACATTGGTTGTCACTGCCATGTTTTTACTATGCATTGCTTCGAATAGAACAATAGAACTCCTAGTCCCTTGATCCGAGATCCACCTTGCATGTTGCGGAACCGCGTTAGAAACTGTGGTTGTTGTCTGGAGTATAATACACGGAGAAACTGAGAAACTGGAGATGAGAAGAGAAATGTGACTGTGTTCTTGCATTAATCATGCGAAATCTGGCGTGCTATGTTCTTGGCTTTGCATGTGGGATATCGGCCACAATGATGTCATTCCGCATCTCGTTGCTTGCCATCCATGTGCAGCCAGCCCGGCTGCCTTTTCTACCTTTGACATTCTTTTGTTATATGTATGATTCTGATTTTGACTGCTTCTAGAATGAACTATTGCTTTGTTTGAAGGACTTTGTCCTCATCTAAGGCCTATCTCCGACTTGAAGGGTTTGATGGTCCGAACCACCGCAACCACGGCTGAACCTGAGCCACTTGGAATCATCAGACACACGCATTTTCTTCTTACTTGTTTTTTCCATCCAGTTTGCAATTAGACACCCCTCCCAAAGAGGAGAGCTTCAGGTTCCACCTTCTATTATGATACACATTTTTTGTATCTTCATTGTGCACTGCTCATCGTTTTGCTGAATACATTTTCACCTGGTTTCTCGATTTGTCGGTCAGCAACCTCAGCGACACCCCTGCCCAATTCTTGTTTTGCCACCTGTGACTTTGCGCTCACATAGCTTTTGTGTACATACCCATTGTCTCAAGCTTGCCAATTGAACTGCCTGTTTCGTGAAAAAAAGGCCAGTGGATGCAGATCCTGCCTATGATGCCCCTGACGATGAGAATGATGTGGGACCTTTTGATTGTCCAGAAGGGTTAACAAACATCACCACGTTGATCAAGCGGAGTGGACCCTTGCCCAACATGGTAGCCTTTCATTTTAGCATGAGTTTCTACACCACGAAAGTTATTGAGAAGGTCGTTTACTAAAAGAGCTAAGGATCTGATAAGTTTTTTCCACATCACTACGAGCGTTATTATGAACACTGGCTTAAAGACAAGAGATGCAAGCCCGGCCTCAAAATAGTGGAGATTGGGGCTGAGCACGGGCGCTCCTTGAAGATTTGGGATGACTATTTCACTTCTCCCAAGACAGTTTTGGGTGTGGCCTACGGCAATTCTGCAGGTGGAGTAGAGAAGACACTTGGACCCAAGACTTCCGTGATATGGGGGGATCAGTCAAAGAATGAAACGATGCAGGATCTCATTTCACGAGGGCCTTGGGATATAATCATTGATGATGCTTCTCATGAACCATCTCACATGATCTACTCTTTGTTCTCCCTGTGGAAGTCACTCAAACCTGGCGGCCTCTACGTCATTGAAGCTTGGTTGTTGTGAGAATTATTGTTTCCATTTGTCCACCGTCACTGAATGTTTTTGTCCTTCACCTTGCTTTGCTCAGTGCCAACTTGCTTTGGGACAAAACCCTTCGCAGTTCAGGAAGACTTAGAGACAAACTACTGGCGTCACGGAAAGGTGGTCTACGGATACAAGCTGAAGAATACCGGAATTGGCGCAACGGCAAAGTGGTCTGCCGTCAAAAAGATAGAACAGATGCTCAGCTGCCGGTGCATTTTCTGTTTTGTGGTATTGAATCAGCACAGTCGTCTCCTGTGTAGCTAGTTGCGGTGCATTCTTGCTATCCTTTGCAAGACGTATTTGCAAAGGGCGGGAATCAGAAAGAAAATTATCGGCGCGCGCAGACAGGAAACGGGACGTGCCCGACGATACCAAGCAGAGGTCTCCAGAATGCACTAGACACTAGGCCCTTCACTGCAAAGCTGTCGATCTGAGCCTACAGGAAGCACGATCGAAAAGGGTAGGTATATTTAAAGTATCAGGCTTTCAGCGGCCACTCCTTGACAAATGCTCAAAAAATGATGGAATGGATGTTAGAGATTTTCGGAGCCTTGACACGCGTTCACACACTCGAGATATTGCGCACGGAAAGGACTTGCGGTTTGCCACACGCCAGCCTAAGTGAAAACCTAAGGTACCAGGGTAAAGTAAGTCAGAGTAGGTTGGAGGCCATTTCATCAAGGTTGGAGGCCAGCACATCTAGGTGGGAGGTCATCGCAACAGGTTGGAGGCCATCACCGTGGTTTCATGCGAAACAAGACTCACAGCAGCAAGACTCTCAAGGTTGGAGGCACTAGTTGGGTGGAGGCCGTTCGCAGCAAGGTTGGAGGCCCTCGCTACAAGGTTAGAGGCCAGCAAAATGCAAAACACGAAACGCAAGTTACGATTAGTAACAGAACCACATGAACCATGAAAGCAAACCACAGCGAGAACAACAGGTAACCAGTTACGTTTACACAGGTCCCAGATGAGGTCTTCGTTGGCCACCGCTCCTCTGGCGGTGGCCCCCCGCCATTTTGAAGACCAAAAAGGTCCCCTCTCCAAGGGTGCCACACACGCCTCCCAGAGGGAGGTGGAGTAATTTGCTTCTAAGGCGCCGGCCTGAAGGAAGGAAAGAAGGAAGGAAGGAAGGAAGGGAAAAAGGAAGAGGGAAGAGGGAAGAGGCGAGCCGTCCATCTGCTTCTCAAAGCTTCCCACGACACGCTTCAGAGGCGTTCACCTGCACATGTGCACGCAAAAGGAACAAAAAGAGAAGACATAAAAGGAGAAGACAGACAAAAAGGTGTGGTTGCCAATGAAGGGAGAACCAGGTGAAGAGGGACAACCGATGAACCAAGCCTCATTGTAACAAACCTGGGGCACCTATGATTAGTTTGTTCAAGAAAGCACGCGCGCGCGTGTGTGCACAGACTAAGGCACCGACCGGGACCAAGGTGCGAGCCAAAAAAAAGAGGGTGAGGATGACAGGACATGAAGACAGGAAGGACATGAAAGAAACGAGGAAAGCAGCGTGTGGGGGCTGATGAAGAGGAAACCAGATGAAAGGGGACAAACCGATGAGTAGCCAAACCTCATTGACCTCATTGAAGAACCTGTTGTAAACGTCTCGTTTGTTTTGCAGCATGCCGCGCACGAGGGAGGGCCTACTTGCGATGGCAACGGCCTGCAACCTAATAGGGATGGTTCCCAACCTAATAGCGATGGCCCCCAACCTACTAGCGATGGCCTCCAACCCAATAGCGATGGCCTCCAACCTAATAGCGATGGCCTCCAACCTAGTAGCGATGGCTTCCAACCTAATAGCGATGGCCTCCATAGGGATGGCCTCCAAAATAAAATGATGGCCTCCAACTTACCTGTGATGGCCTCCAGCCTAATGGCGATGGCCTCCTCCACCCTTACTTGCGATGGCCTCCAACTTTGACCTCCAACCCACTTGCGATGGCCTCCAACCTACACACACATTGTCAATGATCACACACGATGTGCACAAAAACATGCCTCAGTCTGCGAACTCGATCAGGGTTTGATTGAGAGTGTGCAATGGAACTATCCATGAATCACATCCTCACATTGTTGCGTCGCTTGGGTTTGGGCAACCATGTCACTCAGGATCACTCAAGTCCTAGTCCGCCACCAAATTGGTGCAAAAAATTTGACGGTCATGCCTGGTGATGAATCTCTGTGTGCAGTGGAGTGGGGCATGAACATCGTGAGACTACGGAAGTGTACTCGGGAGGAAAGGGCTTTCCATCCAAAGATGAGTCCAAAAGTTTTCTTTGACAAGAAGGCAGGATGGGAGCCGTGAGTCTGTGATATGGAATTTAGTGCGCCTTGTTGCACAGGGAAAACACCTGCAGACGGATGTTGGAAAGGGATTATATAATCGGTCCTTAGGTGGGTGTGGAAGTAGAGAAGTGCGACCAAAGTTTCTCATTGGGCCTTTTCCACAGTCTTATCATCCTTTCCCGCAAAACATGTGGACTTCTTTTGACCCAAACAACTGTGCCAAAGTGAATTCTTGAAGAATTTGTAAGTACTTTTGTGTTTGTGCCCCTATCCCTGTCAGAAGATGGATGCATGGATTGAAGAGGCCAAATCGACCAATCCAATTATTTGAGAGCCCTTGCTTGCTCACGTCCTGGCGACTGCACGTGGCGCAGGGTGGGGTCACGAGCCATCAAACTGACATCTTTCCTCCATCGTGAACTGGGAGTAGTTCCGAGTGCAAGGCCCAATTGGCCAGTCATCACAATCAAAGCCCCGGGAGGTGAGGAAGTGATCGCAGCCGTGCTCCTAGATCGCGTAGCAGGCGGTTTCCAAGTCAGGGCCAGACAAAATGCTGGAGCAAACCGTTCAACTGGGCCGAGTGAGCTGCCTGCAGTCGTCTCTTTGAGTTGGAGTCAGAGCTGGCCGGGCCTGGAAAAATCAGTGCTGTAGGTCCGCGTGTCGGCATGATAATGTTGTTGTAGTGTTCTTTTTGCTCTCAAACCGGACAGGAAGCCATGCCGCAGCTGTTTCAGTGTTTCATATTCAATGTGTAAGAACACGCGCTAATGACCTTGCTGATGCATGGGGCAAAAGTGAGTTTCTCAGTCTTCTATTGACCTTGTGCACAGACATGAAGATATTAGATTGCATGTAACATGCTTGGACTACTCACTCTTGTGCAGCTGGGAGGCCAAGCCAAACAGCAGATGATGCTACAACTGACGGAGGCTGATTCAGCATTCAACATGCGCTCTAGTTCCATGTACACCTATTTCATTGCAGGATACCTTGGTGTTCTTTTTTGCAAACAAATTCTTTTTGTTTTTCGCCTGCCGAGTTCAGTGGTCTTGAAGTCTCGTGGACGGTTGCCATGCGCAGGTTCCGCCAGTTCCCTTTACGGTGCCTACAACTTCCTGCTGGGATGCGCGACTCCATGTGCGGATATGGGGGCGAGCGAAAGTACGGGCTCGTCGTGCGCCCCAGAGAAGTGCCAAGGGATGCTGTGCAATGGACCCGAATCATTCGTAATGAAAGTAGATTTCAAGGAGAGAAAACACACATGAACATAAGACACACACACCAACAAAACGGATCAAAGAGAGAATAGAAAAGCGTCGAAGAACCCAAATGTTTCATTGTGTCCGCCAGTGGGCTGCTTCAAGGCTTGTAAAGGTCGTCCAGCATTGCTGCATCTCTTCGGAAAGAGAGGTCAAAAGCTGAGATGACACTGGAAACATCCAGACTGAAGCGGATTGCAGATTGGGTCAGGAATCATTTGTAGGACCATGGCGTTTCTTGAGCAGCTTTTGTGTCAAACGTTTGGGAATATACACTAGCATTTGTATGTGTGCCCTGAGTTTTTGCGGAGATTCAGCCACGTTTGTTGTGCCAGTGGTAGCTTGCTTCGGAGTCTGGTCGAAGTCCAGCTTCGCCTACCATTGGTTAGGTGTATTCTGGTAGTTTGGCGAACTGCGCTATTTTGGCATCAAAATGAACTTTGACAATGCACTCTTTCTTTGTCTCTTTTTCTGTCCAGGCTGCCCTCGAGCTGGTCGAGCAACATCGTGTCATCGGGTGCCGGACTTACAGCGACCGATGTGCTACAATGGATCACGCCACGATGTTCAAGACACGAGTCGTTCGCAGGGATGCTGGCACGATGCAGATCGAGGACGAGGACGAAGTCTGGCCCCGGGAAGTTGTCTTGAAACTTTCACCTGCAAAGCTGTTGCGTTGTTTCATGTTGCTTCTCTGTGTGATTCTTCTTGGGGCCACAGATTTGGGCAGCCTGGACCTCTCCGCGAGCTTTAGATGCTGCAGGTCCACTTTAGAGTCGGAGAGGGTAGGAAGAGTGGCAACTTGGAATCTGCCAGTCACCTCATATTAAGTTCAGCAGGCCATCGGCAGAAGCTCTTGGTCCGCCCAGAAAGAGATCGCAGGTGGTAATGTTTCTTTTTCAACTTCATAATCATTCAGTTGTTGCTTGATGTTTGTGGCAGGTTCGAAGAGCTCTATACCTTAGACAAGAAAGTGGGCGAAGGGTCTTTCGGCAATGTGTACAAGGCCATTGAAAGTGTTGACAACGCAGTTGCGAAATGTGCTCAAGTTCAACAATTCAACACTTACGTTTGTCTGCAGGCCCATGCCAAAAGTGCACATGGAGTCTGACCCTCAAGTGTAGTCTCACAAACATGCCGAAACATGGTAATCACTCAAATGTACAAGGCTCAACGCGCTGTCGCTGTGAAGGCCTAGTCTCCACAAAAGCATGCCGAGCATCTCTAGGAAAACATCACCTGCTCTTACTTTTCTTAGTTGAGTCTTCGAACTTACTTTGGCAAGGGATGAGCTGCTTGCAGTGCAGGTCTTTTCGCTAGCCTCGCCGATTGCCTCTCCTCAGGCAGTGTAATGGAAACGCAATGAACACTCGAAACCTCCAAGAAACCTCCCGAGACGGAAGCGAAAGCGAGCGAAAGTGAGCTGTCTGTCGCATTGGCTCAGGCCAAAGTGGACAGCGAGGAAGCGAAGCGAAAGCTTGCAAGCTTTATCAGTGAGTGTGCCGGGGAAGCCAAGTGAAGCCGATGCCGAGAAGAAGCCTGATTTGCCGAGAAGAAGCCACTTGGCACCTCGATCGTGTTAGGCCATGCTGTCTCGCCTCGACCATCCTTATGTCGTGAGGCGCAGAAGGGGCTTTCGTTTGTGGAAGATACTGGTGTGGAATAAAGAAGCAGCTAATGTGTGAGGATGCACGAGTCGTTTCAATCAGCTGGCTCGCTTCATTTGGTTCTGGAGATGTGTTGGGCACTTGGGCAATTTGAACAGAAAGCCTTGTCCAATCTTGTGCTCTGAGGTCAAGGCGGTGAGCTTTACAATCTCCTGGTTAGAAAGATAAAAGAGGAGCAGCGAGATTTTCTCTATAACATCTACAACTAGCCATCGCGTCAGCCTTCATTGAATCCTCTGAATCTCTCGACGCAATTGCGCCAAACCGCCAAACGTGCAGACAGCTTGTTACAGGAGGATGGCCTTGAAGAAGTTACGGGACAGATATTCTTTAGGCCCTTTGCTGTAGATCTGGCCGTGAAAGTGATCTGTCCTGCCCCACTGGACTCAGGCAAATGCTGCATGCCGTGGGATACCTCCACGCCGGACGCATTGTGCACCGTGACGTGAAGCTGGGCTCTTGGGATCCGGGGCGAAACGGCGAACGAAAAAGAAACTCATCTTTTTCTTCTGTTTCTAGAAGCGATGGCCTCCAACCTCATAGCGAACTGAGGCCAGAAAACTTCCTGGTTTCCGGAGATACAGATCGACCTGAGGCCACGTGTGGCAGCTCTGAGAAGCAGACAATCATCAATGCAGTCTAGCATGCTTTGTGTAACCTCGAAGGAAAAGACCGCTTCATAGACTTTGGCATTGAATAGTTTTCATGCCTTATTTTTGCAGGAGTTGGTCTTGAAGCTCTGTGACTTTGGCACTGCCACAGTCTTGACACAGCAAAAGCCCAGGCTCAAATGCAATCAGTCTCTGAGTTGTCCAGGCATTCAAGCAGGTACGTAGACTGTAACGGCTGTAGCAGTTTTGCCAAAGCTTGTTGGCCGTCTGTTTTTGCAGCATCGGACATGTAAATTGGCTTCCCTTGTGCTAGGTCCATGGTTAACATTGGAACTCTTTCCTACACTGCTCCGGAGGTGCCTCTCATGAGGGCAGAGACAGTGACAAATAAGCCTAGTGAACAGTGAACAAGTATCCAGGCCAGGTGGCTAGTAGTTGCAAGAACCTCAGCAGCTGTTATAGAGACGTGGCCCAAGAAGCTTGCAGCTTGTGCAGCTTGTATCTGACAAATCCAGTACATAGCGGTTTCTTGTGAGACAATGAAGCTCACTGCCTTTTCTTTCGCTGGCGTTTATGGCGTGGGACTATCATTGCTTATACTTTCCGGCAACGTCACAGATAAACTTCTGTGCCTTTTCATCCGCAGAGAGCGCTACACATTCAAAGATATAGAGAAAGTCTGGGCCAACTGGCTCGCGGTGGGATGTGCCTATGTGGGCATGATGAACTTCTCTGTTGCCAACGAGCATGCTTTCGGGCCTGACAAGAATCTCGTTGCGATGAACACTGTCTTCATTTACGGCATGTGGGCAATTCAAAATACATACCTGTGTGTTTGCAGGAGTGACCTCTTCAGACCCTTCATGTGGAGCAACTCCATACTCTGTAGTGCTGCTGCAGTGGCCAGCTTTTGCGCCACCAATGGGGGCGGCTCTCGGGCTTTGGAGGCTCAATAAGACGCCATCAAGAAGAGATGATCCGATGAGCCAATCCGCTTTTCTCGGTCTTCCTTCCAGACTCTTTGGGATTCGACCAATCGACTAGATGTTCACATGGAGCATCGCACGCCAAGGTTTGGAGTGACAAAAGATGATCGTGCTTGATTCGAGGATATCACGCAAGCTTTCAGGAAGCTTCTGCTGATGATTTTTGTTGGAACTTTAGTTGAGATGGCAGGTGTACATGCGCAAAGGAGCTGACCTTCCGGCAGATATTTGGTCGGCCGCTTCAGTCATACTGTGCCTTTTGTTTTCTTCTTCTTTGATTATCGCACCCTTATCAAGCGAGGTCGCTAGGCGTTGTCCTTTATGTCATGCTGCACGGCCCTTGGGTTTACATGTCGGTGTAGGCGAGGTTCCTATCCTGAAGAACTCAGGACAGGAACCAATCCTTTTCGCAATGGCAAGGAGACCTCAAAGCAGGCGGGCTGAGTGAGGCTGCATTGTTGGCTTTGCTTAGTCAGAAGGAGTACTGCGTGAGCTGATGAATGGTCAATTGGTGAATAGATTCCATTGCAGGAGACTGTCAAAAGGATAAAGTCTGGAGTGTGCTGGCCTTAGTTTTGGTGGATTTGGTAATCAGTGTAGTCAATATAGACCTTTTGCAGCTGCTTGCCACTTAAGGTTTGCAACACAGCGTGCTGGATGGCTCAAAGTTTCTGAGCCAGGCTTTGAAGGATGGGGTGTTTGGCCGTGTGAGCTTTGGACGTGAACAGGCCAAGACATGGTGAAGAAGCTCTTAGTCCTAATCGAGGACAAGCGCCTCACCTGTTGCGAGGTAGGAGCTGGGGATTGA